CAGCTTCTCAAAGTATAGTTAAACTGGCTCTCTGCTGCCCGTGGACTAGCTAACATACATTGTGTTAGTGAACCACGTAAATCGTGTATCGTGTGTGTGCTTTCGTTTTTCTTGCATTGTCAAATTCTCCAATTTTCCGATCCGTAGAGAAAAAGTCGTGACAATTTTGTTAGCTGAATTGTATAGTTAAAACTTTTTTGTAGCTTGCTAACAAACAGTGACGCATGTAAAGATTAACTATAAATTTTTCCTTTGCTTAGTTAATAACATATACTTTTATCTAAAACTTTTAAGTGGGGATTTCTATAGTAATTAGCACTAAGTTGGAGTACAATAGCTATGTTCAAGTGAAGTGGTTGCCTGTGCTAACCAGTTTAATCGGTAGTATATGTATAATTTGGATGATTGGTTAGGTTAAATTTTTTAGCTTGTTTGATTTAAATGGTTTGGTCTGATTGCACACGCTGCTAACCAATTAAAACAATTATCCAGTTAAGTAACTAGCCATATATCTAAAGCATTATAATTACATACTTAATACTTTGTGTAATCACTCAAGAGAAGCGGTTCTCCCTTTTGGACCCATAAAAAATAAAATTCACAAATGTTCAAAGAATCGATGCATCAACATGAGATTTTTTTTTCACGTGATAATGTTATGTTATATTGGCTAATCCTATCAACCAATTAGTCAAACTGATTAAACTTTAGAATTTGGTTAATTTGGCCGATTTTGTTATGATATTGGATTCCATGTCTAATAGAATTTAGAGTTAACTGATTTGATTATTACATGGTAACCATATGAATTCACCTAGCAAACGTACATCAAACTCAATAAGAAAACTATAAATTTCAGAGTTTTAAATAATGAATTCAGTTTATTAATTCATGGACATGCATGGACAAGGTTAAGTATTTGTCAAAATGCTGATGTTCATGTCCTTCGTAGTTCACACCAATAATTAGTAATTTAACAGACCATCTGAATTATTTAGTGTATAATGAGAGATCTGATGGAACCACCGCCCACTGTAACCGAATACCTTAATAAGCTAATAAACAGAGTATCTCTCTGATCAACTATACCCATTGACTTATTCTTATTATTCCATCTCTCAGACACTGAATTCCTTACAAGCAATAAGAATATTAGATGATGGGAGAGATAGTAAACTATAGAAAGCAAAACTGGTATTCTGCATTCCCCACTTGGATCTTCCTGTAGGGCAAACAAGTGTCAGCATATTACAGATTCTGATCATCTTCTTTAACGATGCTACTTAATTATTTCAATAAAAAAATTAGTATTTGCACAGATTTAAGTACAATTCGAAAAGGAAAGTGTAAGTAATTAAGAACCAAATGGATGAAATAATTACATGCGGATGGCAACCTTAAGTTTAGCCTTTGTGTCTAAACCTTCCACTACCAAACTAATTCAATGAAACCGTCCACATTTCCAGATGTTCAGATTAATTAGCCAGTCTAAGTATGCACATGCACTACGTGGTTTGTCAAAGTTTATGTTGAGTCCTTAAGTTTCATATTGTTGCAATCGAATCCCGCGCGAGTTGTGTGTTAGGTTATTCAGAGCATTCAGCTCAAGTAGTAGCTTGTTAGTTGTTCATGGGAATGAAAATCAGGAAAGTGGGGGTTAATTAAGATGGAGGCCGAGATATGTTCATTGCTCATTTCCGTAAAGAAATTGTCTATTTGCTCGATATGTGAGTGTACATTGTGGTATCAGAGCACCCTTGCAAATTGTAACCAGTTCTTTAAGAGATCAAAAGTGAGAAATTTGCAGTGTGATTTCATAGAGCTAGCTAGCCTTGTGATGGAGAATAAGTTAAGATACAAAGAGCACTGGGTGTGGTTACTCAGGGTTGTCAAGAGCCAACTGAAGGTGTGGTGTTGTGTTGTCTGCTGAAGAGTAAAAAACCTTGGATGATCCAAGAGTGAAAGGCTTGAAAGAAAAGAAGTACTTATTCAGATCTATTGAAAAAATCATACTAAAGACCATCACGAAGAAGGACGATGCTAAGGAACTATGGGATTCCATGAAGTTCAAATGCAGTGAAGTGCTAGATAGAGTGCATAAGGCTCAATTGTATGCACTAAGGAGAACTTCTAAAGTTTTGGAAATGAAGAGAGGAGAAACTGTTACTGCTTACTTTGGCAGGGTTATGGTGGTTGCCAATTTCATGAGAAATTGTAGAGAAGACATGCCAGTTGCCAGACAACAAGGTAGGGAAAAGACACACGTATAACGGTCAACGTCCCAATTTGTGACACATGTATAACGGTCAATGAAATCGTCAGGATATAAATGACACACTATCATAATAGGTTGAAATCATTTCAGAATATTTAATAGTTTGGGATGCAAGTGGTACCTTTTTATAATTTGAGTTTTCCATTGGTATTAGCCCAATTAATAATTATAAAATACTATTCATAAAGAAATTTATAATATAAGTAGAATAATTTAGATAATTATGAATCTATAATTGTTTTTTTTTAAAGTTCAGGTTTAGTAGAAGTTCACGCATCATCATATATTCGATGACGTATATTAGGGTATATGATTGGAAGTAATTTAAAACATGAATTTATACAGATCCAATGTGAACTTGCATACTTCTACAAAATGTACAGCTCACAAATATGTAGGCGCACTAGGTTTTTCGCACCCCCCATATGCCAACTATGGCGAGATGGCTATTTACAGTGTAGCCCTATTCAAGAAATCTTGCCATATGGTTCATCATATATGGAGAAATCTTGTAAGAATCTCCAATGAATCACTTTTGTGATTGATTTGCACCAAGAGAGATCTGGAGTTGTTGATATAATCAAGAAACCAACTTTAATTAGATAGAACTACTAACTCTCTTCAAAAGTAATATAATTAGATCCATAAATATATGAGACCAAAAGAGAAAGCACCACTAATCATGATTATCATCGAGATTATGTTATCTTCGGCTCCCCAAGTTTAACAGATCCAATGTGAATTTGCATACTTCTAGACCAACGCTTAACTCGAGGGTTCCTATACCACCACCCTGTAATATTTTAACGATATGCTAGCTAGTTGTACTTGTACTGATTCTTAGTTTTGACTTATGATTTGCATCTTTTGTTCTTAAGAGAAGTTAGCAATTTAATAATGTTTTCTTTAGATATTATGATGTCTACTCTAGATGAAGAGTTCCTTCCATTCAGTTTCGGTTAACCACTAATCGATTAAGCGGTTGGTGGTTAACTATTAAGCAAAACATGCATATCGAAAACCAAATCGATAAGACTTATCGGTTAAGTGTCTGCTATCGGTTCGATTAGCGGTGAGTTTGACGTTTAATCACTAACAACCTCCACATGTGACATTTTTCTTTTGTTATTTTTAGATTTTGTATGGTGTTCTTTTTAATAACAAAATAAAATCATTCAAATAATTAAGGGTGTGCAGCGGTTCGTCCGGACCGAACCAAAGTCATGAGAACCGTGATCCATTAGTAATAGACATCTTAAGACCAAGGGTTGGATCCCATCACTGCATTCGGTTCATTTGGTCCTGTTCGGTCAGGTCCAAATATCAGTTCGGTCCATCATTTCTTCAGTAATTGTAAAATTCATGAGGACCAAGGATTGAACCACATTATACTCGATCTGGTGCAGCCTAGTCCAAACTTTGGTTTGGTCTAGTAGTGCGGTTCGATACGGACCAGACCATTGCACATCCCAACAACTAACTCAAACAATTTAGCTATACTTCTACATTGTTAACATGAAGTAATAATTACAAGAAATAATATGAATATAATACAACATCGAGAAATTTTACAATGCTATATAGCATTGGTGCTATAGGTTTTTGCCTTTATGGTACAACTTGAAGTTCTGCTTTTAACGTTATGGTACAACTTCAGATTGTACCTATACTCTTTTGTACAAATTCTTTTATGATACAAATACTTGAACTCGTACATTTATGTGATGGTACAACTTTACGTAAAGTTGTACCATACATAAGGGTACAAATTCCTTTATGGTACAACCTGAAGTTATACATTTAACATTATGGTACAACTTCAAGTTGTACATTAAAGCACCAATGATTTATAGCATAATACAAGTGCTCTACAACATCTATCGTGAATTCATAATCCAAATCCTAAATTTGGACACATAAAAAAATAAAATGTCTTCACCCAATTAGCGAGTATAAACTAGCAAGACATTAAACACAAGCACCACAAGATCATCATCATTCACAAACATCAAACAAACAATGACTACTTGTCTACTAGGGTGCGAGATTCGCTTTATCCAATGCAAGAGGGAGTCAGAACTAGAGGGATTACTTTCGAATTATGATTCTTAAACATATTTGTTACTTTTGGTGGAAGGTTATCTTGTGTTATCAAAAAAACATTTTGACAGAACCTTCAAATTATAGCATCTGCTCTTTGTTATGAAAACAATACTTCTAAATGTCGGATCAAACAGAGAGAACTTCATATCATAATATGAAAAATGTTTATTATCATAGGAAAAGAATCAATCAAAAGAATCATATCATAATGTTTATTAACTGTAATCCCCCCCCCCCCCCCCCCAACTGGTAGCTAATTGTGAAGGTTAATTCATAAAACATACCACATCGTTTTCTCAAGTTTGGCTAAGAGTTGGATCGTCAACTCATTAGTCCATTATTAGATTCACATTAAAGCCCACAAATGGTAACATTAATGAAATTATATAGAGAGAGGAACGAAAAACGAAAAAAAATCAAATGAAAACCACCTCTGACCTCTCCAATAATCTTAGAGAGAGAATGAGAGAAGGAAGGAAGGAAGCACACCACCACCAGCAGACCAGCTAGGCTGGAAGTGATAGAGAGAGAGAGAGAGAGAGAAAGGGTGGGTGGGTGCATGTGTTCGTGTAGTATATATACATAGAGACAAAAGCCTTGTGGGGTTCATTTTCATTTCAATTCATTTGGAGAGAGAGAGAGAGAGAGATCTATCTATCTAATCTGTCTATCTATCATCACCTCTAAATTACAAAACGAAAACCACTACAACAACTGGCTTTCCACATTTCCCAAACCATACATTATCCACCGGAGAGAATTCATCCATCATGGAGGCGACGCAGGTGATGAGGTTCGAGGAGACCGAGCTCCGCCTTGGCCTTCCCGGCAACGCCGCCGTTGCGGCGGGGAACGGTGGTGTGAGGAAGAGAGGATTCTCTGAGACTGAGACCATGGATCTGCAGCTCAACCTCTCTTCTTCCTCCACCACCGCCACCAAGCTGGACGCTCCACCTTGTGCTGCCGCCGCAGCTGGCAAGTTGCTTGATGCTTCTCCTCCTCCTCCTGCTGCTGATCATCAGAATCAGATGGAGAAGTCCCTTCTCCAGGCAGATCCCGCCAAGCCTCCTGCCAAGTAAGTAGAATCAATCTCTCAGTTACAGCCAGTAATAATTTTATGATACCATCACTGTTGGTATCAGAATCTGGTTCTAGATATGGTATGAGAGTCTGTAGTACTATGAAAGGTTTTTTCTTCTTCTTGATACTGATCTTAGTGTGAACAGATTAAAAATTTGGTGTCCGAACTTGTGCAAACTTCTAATATATATAAATATATATAAGTAGTTAACTTAGTAAATGAAATATACTCCGTGTATAATTGTTCTAACTACAATTCGAGTTATTGAAATCAATTGATTGTTGACGCGTTTGATTTGCGCTAGCTTGTTTGAGTAATGATGATTATATACGTATGTGTGTGTACACGGGGGAAAACAAATGTAGGGCACAGGTGGTGGGGTGGCCGCCAGTGCGATCGTTCAGGAAGAACATGGTGCAGGCGGCGGCGGCCGTCAAGAAGAGCACCACCACCATTAATGCAGGGAAGGAGAAGGAAGCTGCTGTTTCGGCGGCGGAGAGCGAGGTGGCGGCAGGGAGCTTCGTGAAGGTGAGCATGGACGGGGCTCCCTACCTGAGGAAGGTCGACCTGAAGATGTACGCAAGCTACAAGCAGCTCTCCGACGCCCTTGCCAAGATGTTCAACTCCTTCAGCACTAATGAAGCAGCTGCTGGTGCTGGTGCTGGGGGAATGAAGGATTTCATGGGCGAGAACAATAGTAGTGCTGCTGGTGATGATTACGTCCCGACCTATGAGGACAAGGACGGTGACTGGATGCTCGTCGGCGACGTCCCTTGGGAGTATGTATTTTTGTGTTGCTTGTGTCGACCTTGATGATCGTTTTAATGAACATCTAGCTCACATCATGCTCTGTTTAATTCGGTGTAGGATGTTTGTGGTTTCGTGCAAGCGGCTTCGCATCATGAAGGGGAAGGACGCCATTATTGGGCTTGGTAAGTAAAGTACATCAACTTAATTAACTCAACGAATGAATGCGTCGTAACGAAACATATGACTAAAACTGTTGATGGGGTTAATTAACTTGCAGCACCAAGAGGCATGGAGAAGCGCAAGAACAGGGCCTAGGTAAAGCCACACAAGCTGCTGCTCCTTTTCAACCGCATGCAGCAGCTGGGGAGATGGATTGAGCAGCTGGCTGTGTGTCTGTGTTTTTTTATTTGGCATTGCCATATATATGGTTTTAACTGTCGTAATACTACATACCATATGAGAATAATAATGTTATGTACTTAAATTTGTGCCCTGATGAACGCTTGTTTGATTTTGTGTGCACTTTTTTTTTCTTCCTTTCTTTGTTTCTATTTTGTTTGTGAGACAGTTACTTCTATAGTATAAAAGTTGTCGGTGTTGCTGTTTATTACTACTGCCTACGTACAGACAGGAACTACAATTTTATCTGTATTTTGCAATTTGCTGCTGGCTGGCTCTTGATCGTGCCCAGCGATTTATATTAACCTGTTGTTGTGATGGTGATATTGATCCAAATTAGTTGTTGGTCGCCATCGACTCATGCATGTGTGCGTGTCGTGACTCGATTGGTTTTTTTGGGGGAATATTATATTATATTATATAATATTAAATTAATTAATGTGTATGGTTCAGGGAAGAGAAGGATATGTAGAGTAGAGAGAGAATAGAAACGAGAGAAAGGGTGGACAAGGTGGGGGATTTCTATGCCCTCTGAGGGAAGAGGGAACATGATCATGATCATGTGCATGTATTGATGGGAGCATTTATATCATATGCCATGCCCCATTGCCCATCTGCCATGTTCCTCTCAATTCAATTATTTCTGGTTTCCAGCAGTTTACTTGCTTTTTTTTAAGGGTTTTTGGGGCATATTGATCCCTTTCTCTTAATTGATTTTTAGAAACTAGGAATATCTCAGTCTGGCTAGGCAGGCAGTGTTCGGTTGTTCAGTTCCAATGGGGGAAAAAAGTCAATGGCCATTAGGGATTGATAATTTCGATATGAACTGATTTATCCGATCTATTTGTTCTGTTTTGGGGAGGGTCAGACCCGTTTCGTAGGTGGGACGAAACAGGCATGTGTACCTCTTTTCTACTCGACCTGCCCCTGATCCGTTCTTGTCTAAATTACATGTAATTTTAGTTGAATTACTAAGTATTTTCCCCTTATTACATTATATTTTAGTTATAATAAAGTCATACATAAGTGAAAATCTCAATTTTTTCAATAATTTAACTACATTGTATCATATTATGATTTCTTTCTTGGTCTTTTAATGAAAATAACTAGTATTTCTAATGTTTTTCGCACAAATTACATACTAATTGGATTGACCTGCCCCGACCCGCGCCAGTGATAAATCACCCGACCTGTCACTAGGCGGGTATGGGTATCAAAATACCAGCCCCGGACCTGCCTCATTGCCATTCCTAATGGACATAGCTAGATAGATACCCATAAGCTACATAACTGTTTCTTTTATATTCACACTCAGTAAATCTATATACATTTTTTAGGCATTGGCAAGATTCGAGTACATCATCCACGAGAGAAAGACGTTTTATACGCAATTAAAAAGATAGGTATAAAGCTCGTAGTTGAATCTCTTCCAAAATTTTAAGTTATTTGAATGTATTTGAATTTGACTTCACATCGCATCATTTATATTTGAGAGTTATAATTTTCGAGTTCGCATTACCTCCGAAAGTGTTGGTTGAAGCGTTCATTCCGGTGCACAGGGAAAAATATAATTACATAAGAAGGCATGAAACGACGGAAATGAAGGTCCCTGTAAGTTTAACCAGCGACAATACGACGTCCATTATGGTCCCCGGCCGGCCGGCCCAACTCTGTCCGCTCGTGTTTTGCTTCGCTTCGCAGCATTCAATTCCGACTACTGGGTCCATTTGAGACATGAAACCAACCCAACTAGCTTAGTTTAGTTAGCAGCATATGATCAGATCAGATCAGCATGGAAAAATCCAGTCAGTCACTCTCGGCTCCGCTGGTCTTGGATCCCTCACATAATAACTAATTTACAGGAAACTGTCCCCCATCCTTCTTCTTTCCTACCCTTATATATTGGACACTGAGCCATCATCACAAAATAAAGGGTACCCTTTGCTGGAAATGATCCGATTTTTATTTGTTACACATGGACCTCAAGCTGGATGGTTTTGTATTTGACCCATTCCAAAAATCCCAAATCAACTAAGCTACTACAGCTCATCATAGCACAATGCACCCCCCAAGTCCAATGGTGTTGCAAATCCAGCTCAGAAATCGACGGACCTGATCACGAGGTCTGCGTTCGTCTTTGACTTCAGTATGAGCTCTGCATTGGGCTGGTCATTGTACTCTATCTGCACCAACATCAATTGAGTTTACGGTTCAGGAGAGAAAGAGTTTGGATGGAGTACGAGAAGGGTTTGATTGGACTGAAACCCAACACTGAAAGAACTCAAAACCCAAAAAAAGAAAAAGGCGACTTCTTACCCTCCATTTGGCAACATCTGGAGGTTTCCCTGTGACGATATGTCAAGATTCAGAAGGAAAAATGAAAACAATCAGATTCGCATTCTACTCCTATTGGGACAAGTAATCGGCGTGAAGAAGACGGAGGAAGGTACCATCACCTGTCGAAATATGTCTTTTCAAGACTCGAGTCATTGCCGTGTCTATATCAACGTCGATGAACCTGCGGACGAAGAGGCCAGCAGAGATTGAGTCATTGTTCGGTAATTATCACGTGCCAAAGAACCGCCAAAGTTTGAGTTCCAAAATGTCATTCAAGAAGACAGACATCTAAATTCATTACCACCTAAAGCCATCAAGCATTCCGTGCCACAATATTTCGACAACAAATTCTGGTAAAGCATGAAGCACATCAGCATTTAGTGGGAGTGGAAAACTGACTTCTTACCATTTCTCGTCGAAGATTGATTGTACGTCTTTCCAAACTCCTCCTTCCAAGAAAAGATAATTTCCTTCAACTATCACCACCTTATGCCTGCAAAGAGCAAGAGAAGATTACCTTTGTATCCTCAATTTTCTTGCACACGCTACATCATCTACTTTCTGTCTCTGACTAGTGTCTTTTGCCATTGTGTTTAAAACGACAAGTGTAGCATTAAGGGGAAAAACCTTTCAGTTGAATTCGTAAAAGGTGGCTAAGATAAATTCATTTACTACAGAGGTGAATTATTGGTCAGAGTTATTCCAAATCAGAAGGTAGACTTACTGAAAGTTTATAAATATGTCATCCTCGATTGGATCTCCAACACCATGATCAAATGATGGGGCAGAAACTGATCCCTGTAGAGGTCAGGTAACCAGGCATCTCTCAGAGAGAAGTTTCAAGATAAGGACGGGGACATAATCGGAAAGATTGCAATCAAATGAAAATGAAAACTATCACTGACCTCATTCCTCAACGTTTTTAGACAGTCGAGGAGTAGACTTGGAGCAAATGTCCACGGAGCTTAATCACCAACACAAACATCAGCGCCAGCAAAATCTTCAAATAGAAAATGCCAAATACCAATTAGCTCACCTCCCCTTCTAGCATGAGCTTCCTCTGGGTTCTAAGAAACAACATACTGAAGGTTAGCACTGAGCTTAAATTCAACAATTCCATGTCACAATAGAGAAACAAGCAGCAAGCTTCAACCTCCATTGCATCAAGCTGCTTGCGGTATAGATGAAACCCATCCATGGGCAGAACGACTGCGACATCTGGTGGATTAACTTGTGAATCAAATGAAGAAGCCTTTAGTGGCCACAACTTATTCACACGTTTCACTACTTCAGAAGCCAAAGTACTTTTTCCGGCACCAGGAGGGCCAGCCAAGCCCACAATATACCTATAAATCAACAAACAGAGAGATGCATAAACAACTTGCACCTTGCAAAATCCCTTTCTATCTAATCCAACATCACAGTAACAAGTACATTAATCACTTGGAAGGTGCCCTTGGCTCGGCATAATGTACTATAGAAGCTAGTAGTATGGCCATTTCGGAAACGTTGTAGCCTTTTTTGTGATGTGGAAAGCAACATCATAACAAAGAAGTAGGCTGAAGATGTTCCAAAAAGTAGTATGGGTCAAATAAGTCCCCGGACGAGGAACAAAAAATTTTGTGTTGCCAGGTACAGCTAAACTCATGTACAGTACAAAAGCTAAAAATTCCGAGGTATAAGAATTAACCAGCAATAAATTGCAGTGTGACAACCAAAACAATGCTCTCTGAAATATTTTCAAAACTGAGATCGACTAGAAAATGAAAGAAGTTTGCAATGACGATTCTATGATTCAAGCAACATAAACTCACTTGGAATTAGGATCTGCGGCTACTGCAGCATTAGGAACAAGCCTTTCAGCCAAATCATCATATATCTCATCCATTGAGCTGCCAATCAAATGGAAGCACAGCTTAAGCTTCAATACTTGCATATACTAGGTCAGATACGAGCAATTCACCTGTGCTTATCCCACCATTGAATGTTGGCCACATTGAGTGGTTGCGTATTGCTAATAAAAGTGACTGAAATTCTCAATCCTCAACTACCGACTTGGATGAGAAAAGTGAAATAGCACATAACCACTGATACCAGACGAGGATTAGAGGTCAGACTGTACACCTCCAACCCAATGGCACACATCAGTTGATGGACTCCTCGACTAGGAGAGGCTAATTGTCCTGTGTGTATATGTGTGTATGTGAATAATTGTGAGGGAAATCCTCAGCCCTCACCCTTTGTGCTAACACTCCGGGATGAGAGAGGCTCGACAGCTCTACAATGCCCTAAATGCTATGCATTATAAAAAGAACCATTGCAACCCCAGTGGCCGATTCCTTTGTTTACATCTAACAGTTTGATGCAGATGAAAATGAAAATTCATGAACGTTCTTATGCGATTACATTTGAACAACCACACATACCTCGACTCGATAACAGGAATTTCCCTCATTTGGCTACAAAACACTTGAAACTGGCACCAAAACAGGTCAATTTGGTGAATTTCAAATTCATAATAAGGCTAAAAACAAACGAGTGAGGAGTAAAAAAAATAACATGCAGGAGTTTAAGATACAAAAGTAAGGACCTTCAATGAGCTCCGCTTCTGAGGAAGTGACCCAATTCGACATGAAAGGGGCGGAGCTATCGTTTTCAACTGAAGGGGCATTGAACATTGATCACGAAAATCATGGAGCTCGATCTTTCTAGGCAGAAAGGTATCTGTTCAGTGCAGGCAGGGGAGATGGAACTCGGCAATCAGGAAAATGTGATCATTAAATTCAGAAACCACAAAGCATAGAAATTTCGGTGGAATCACGTTTAGCAGTAAATCAAGCGATTCAGAAAAAGAGAAGATCGACAATTCAGAGCGTTTTGTAAGATGGGAAAGAAGTGTAGAGGCGGACCCACCTGATGACGGAAAAGAGGAACGGAGATGGGCTCTAGGGATTCCGGAGAAGGATGCAATCTCCATCGTTTGCCGCGACCGGCGATGAAAAGATAGGGGAAGGCAAGATCAGAGATGAATTTTGACGGTGGGCGCAGTGTTGGAAGCGAGAAAGTAAGGCAGGATTTCAGGTGATTGTATTCTTCCTCTTTTGCTTCACTCTTCGTCTTCGGTTTCTCACTTCTCAGCTTCGAATTTTTTCGAAATAGAGGAATTTTTTAGGAAAAAATCGCAAAATATACGTGTTTAAAAAAAAAATCTTAAAATACACACGTTGTAAAAAAAATTCCCAAAATACACATGTTTGGGCATCACCGTTGTTGTCAGCCGCAGTGAATACATTCACCGCGCAGCAGACCGAAGCGGTGAATGCATCACCGCGGTTGACGGCCGCGGTGAATGCCTAACGTAACACGGAAACTTCAAACAAACGTAACTTTATGCTCGGTTATCCGATTGTAGCGAATTTTTTTTTTGATTCAATATAACTTTTCAAGATCTTTCAATCTGAAACAAGACTTCATCCCAAAAAAAAATCATTTGCTACCCCGAACGAGCAATTTTTCGATTTTAACAAACTTTGGAAGATCATAACTTTGTGCTCCACAATCCGAATGTCATGAAACTTTTTTTGATTTTGCATAACTTTTGAAGTACTACAACTTTGATTAAACCATAATTTTGGAAAGTATGTGGATTTGTGAAAGGTAAAGGCAAAGTTATTCCCAAAATCCCGTATACCCCAAAAATACTTCTTTTTTAAAAAATTATTTCCTAGTCAAAGTTGTAGTTCTTAAAAAGTTACGCGCAATCAAAAAAAAATTTACGACGTTCGGATTGAGGAGCTAAAAGTTATGTCCTTCCAAAGTTTGGCAAAATCGAAAAATTGCTCGTACGGGGTAACAAACGACATTTTTTTTAGATGAAGTCTTATTGCAGATTGAAAGATCTTGAAAAGTTATATGGGATAAAAAAAAATTCACTACAATCGGATAACCGAGCGCAAAGTTACGTTTGTTTGAAGTTTCAGAGTTAAGTCGGGTCTTCACCGCGGCCGTCAACCGCGGTGATGCATTCACTGCTTTGGTCTGCCGCGGTGAATGCACTGCTTTGGTCTGCCGCGGTGAATGCATTCACTGCGGTTGACAACAGCGGTGATGCCCAAACATGTGTATTTTGGGATTTTTTTTTATAACGTGTGTATTTTGGGAATTTTTTTTAAAACATGTATATTTTCGAAATTCATCCAATTTTTTACCTAAACTAATGCAGTAACTAGTTTTCTGCCCGCTAGATGAGCGGGACGCCATGTCATGTAGGTGCCATGTCAGTTGGTAAAACCAATTTCAACCAATTTTGGTTATAAGCATCTCCATTGGTGCAATGGCATTTGCAATTGCATTTGTTTTTTTATTGCTACTTCATTTTTTTGCAATCCAACTCATCTTACTTGCATTGCACCACATCAATGCAATTAACTTGCAATTGCAACTAATTTTTTTGATTTAATTTATTAAAACATAAACACTCAAATAATAAAATTAATGGACAATTTAATAATAAAAAAGATGATGTGGCTTGCATTCCATAATTGCATTATATGCAAGCTTGCAAAGATGCAATTGTCATCTACATCAATGCAATTGCATAATTCAATTACAAATGAATGTCATATCATAATGCAATTATAATTGCAATTCCAATGGAGATGCTCTAACATGATCAATTTTCAAATTTTAAACAAAATGTCAATGCTTTGATGAACTTAAATGATAAAAAAAATGAATTTTGATTTGTTTTCTCAATTAATTTTTTTTAATAATGATTGCATTAATAAAAAGAAGAGAAAAATGTACAAAAGGCATATTTTCAACAAGCTGAACTTGCCAAAAGATGAAGAAAAATGAATGTAAAAAAAAAACAGCCAAGAACAACATGCAACAAAGAGCTGGAAAGAAAGGGAGACAAAAAGAGAGAGCAAGGTGGACCAGACCACCCTCGCTCCAAGAAGCAGCAAATAGAATAAACTGCCATCCACCGATCTACGCATGGAGGCAAAGAGCCAATCAAAGACCATTCAAGAGGACAGCAAAGAAAAAAGCAATTAATTTATTCAAACGCAGAAACGAGATGTCGCATGGTCAAATACTACAGAGGAAACTTGCAACCAAAGTTGATCTCTGCTCTTTGTTGATCTTTCCATGTGCAGCAGCCCAAGAAATAGTTTTAGTAGCGTTGCGGGCAATGACAATAGCAGGAACCTGCACGTCTTGAAATATATATTTATTACGCATTAGCCAAATCTGCCAAAACACTGCATGGAAGATGCAGAACTTGGACCATCCTTCAATGTTATATGGAGTGCACACAGTGGATCCTTCAATAATATTTGAGACTATGCCCGAGGGAGTTCTGATGCTGCTATGTCCACGACGAATAAGCTCCCACACAGAACGAACATAATCACAGCTTGAGAAGAGATGATCAGCAGCTTCCTCATTTTTGCAACACAGCTCGCAACGATTAGCAAGTGAGAACCCCCTCTTTTTGAGAACATCTATAGTGAGGATCTTCTTGTGCCAAATTGTCCAAATAAAGAAGCAAATTTTGCTTGGTATGATTGTCTTCGAAATAGCTTTAGCTGTAAAGTATGGAATTCCTAGATATTTCTGTTTCATATGTACCTGTACATAGAGCAAATAGAGAAAATGTTTTCTAAACCTGAGATCCACCAGATTCTGCATGGACTGTTAGCTGCAGAAGAGACATCAATATTGCTAAGAAGCATTATTGTCCAAATAAAGAACATCTATAGTGAGGATCTTCTTGTGCCAAATTGTCCAAATAAAGAAGCAAATTTTGCTTGGTATGATTGTCTTCCAAATAGCTTTAGCTGTAAAGTATGGAATTCCTAGATATTTCTGTTTTATATGTACCTGTACGTAGAGCAAATAGAGAAAATGTTCTCTAAACCTGAGATCCAGCAGATTCTGCATGGACTGTTAGCTGCAGAAGAGACATCAATATTGCTAAGAAAATTAAACATGTTCACTCTTTCACGTTCTGCTCCCCCTTGCAAAATATAAATCAAGTTAACATTCCAGTTTACCTCACCATTGGAAATGGAGACGATTTCTGAGATCCATGCTTCAGGATTGGAAACAGCAGCAGCGACTCTAGGATATGCAGCAGCAAGAGTGACTCCTGGAATCCAGCAATCATGCCAAAAAGAAACATGGCCTCCTCCTCCTAGTTCGATATGAGCCATTTTCCAGAATAAATCGTACTCTTTAGAAATATTAGCCCAAACCGAGCTTGAGTACCTAGATCTGATCTTACCAGTCTGACAAGAGGAGCGATTGTTTGGATATTTAATCTCAATAAGACTTCGCCACCATCTATCTTTCTTCATAGCGTACTTCCAAAGCCACTTGGTGAGCATGGAACTGTTAAAGGTAGACATGTCACAAATACCCAAACCTCCATTGGCTTTTGAAGCTTTGCAGGCCTCCCATTTCACAAGAGGTTGTTTTTGTTTGTCCCCAGTTCCACTCCAAAGGAACCTTCTTTGAATTCTTTCCAAGCCATCTACAACAGTCTTTGGAGCTTTTAATAGGGAGAATAAATAAACCATTAAATTATTGAGGACAGAGCTATTAAGAGTAAGACGACCTCCCATTGAAAGATAGTTGCACTTCCATCCATCCAATCGTTTTTGGTAATTCAAGACAATAGGATCCCAAAGTGAGGAAGAGTTCGGTTTGACCCCGAGCAGAAATCCAAGGTATTTTGGTGGGTTTTTGCTCCATTTGCATCCAAATATAGGTGCATAAAAACTTGGTTCAGGTACGTCTCCCACAATATACATAATGGATTTATCTAGATTGATCTTGAGACTAGTAACTGCTTGGAAACATACAAGAGTGGAAAGAATGTTGATCACCTGTTCATGTGAGACATCACAGAATATGAGTGTGTCATCTGCAAATAAGAGATGAGTAACCTCGCCATTTTGTTGCAGTTCATCCATACAAAAGCCATCAATCATTCCAGCGGCCTTAAGCTTGGACAACATAAAAGAAAGGATATCAATGATCATCACAAATAGACCCGATAATATAGGGTCTCCTTGTCGAAGTCCCTTCTGGCCGGGAAAAAGTCATTCGCCTCACCATTAACAAGAATAGAAATAATGGGAGAGCAAATAGCCCCACGTATCCAATAAACCCACCTAGAAGGAAAGCCCATTCTTGTTAGTGTTTTGAAAAGACATTCCCAGTTCACATTGTCATGTCTTCTCAATGTCAAGTTTAAACTTTAGCCCACTCTTCCTGCTTTTCGTCTGATGTCCACAAGCTCATTGGCTATAAGACCTGCCTCAGAAATATGCCTTCCTTGTACTGAGCTTGCTGTAAATCATAGATCAAACAGGGTAAAACCTTCCCGAGCCTTCTCGTAAAGACTTTGTTGATGAGTTTGTTAATACGGCTCATGAGTCCGACCGGACTGAGGTCCTTAACATCTTCAATGGCATCTTTCTTAGGTGCCAAGCAGATGAATGAATGATAGGCGGTCTTCGGGAGATTACAAGAAATATAGAACTCTTCGAACACTTTAACGATATCACCTTTAATTGTCGTCCAACATCTTTTGTAAAACTCCAATGTGAAACCATCAGGGTCGGGGGCCTTACTGCCATCACAGTCCTTAAGAGCTTCCCAAATTCCAGCTTCTTTGAACTTACAACAAAGTCTATCACGATCTTCATCACTATCATTTCCTCCAAATATTGACACTGGAATGATCTTATGGTAATTTGTTCCTTGAAAAGATTAATGTAGAAGTTATGTATGTCATGTGGTACATTCTGAGATCCATCAAAAGTATGCTCTTTCACTGTAACTCTATCAAAAGAGTTGCACTTTTCCTATAGTTGGCCAGTTTATGACAATAGCTAGAATTGTTATCCCCAACTTTCAACCACAACTCAACTTTTAGTGTTCCTCTTTCCACAATTTCATCCTCATCCAGAGCTCTAGATTCTTCAATGGATTCAAGATTTTGAATTTTCAATAGTAGATCATCCACTCTTTTGTGAATATTACCAAAAGTTTCTTTATTCCAAACTTTGAGTTTCTGTTTTCAATCCTGAAGCCTTCTAGTCCA